TTTGACGAAGAGGGCCCCTGAAAAAAACACCCCCAGGCCAGCAAAACACCACCACAGACGGTGTCACCACGCGGACACCATACAACCCCCACTTTCATACATGATTTATTGTGGAAAATAACTCCAAACAAAAGATCCCTTGGCAAAGAATGTGGAAACCACATATCCCGGCCAGGGATGGCCAACGACACCAAAGCCGCGAACATGTCTAATACTGCTATTATACCCGGCGACGGGTAAAACACCAATTTGCGTCTCTCTCAAAATAGGGGAAGCCCCAAAATGTGTTGTTTCCTTGTGGCCTGCCCTTTCCAACCACCCGAACAGGTGTTTGAATTGCATATTGAGAACATGGGTCCATTTTCCACCCACCGGGCCTTGCCGTACTCACAGAAGGTGTGCCTCAGTTGCCCAAAGGACCCGGAGAAAAAAAGAGGTGGACCTTTTGGGACCTTGACGAAACATGAAAAAACAAGAGTTTCGCGAACACATCGGAAAACCGGAAAAGGTCACTTCAGGTCGGCTTAACTGAGATGCAGGTGGAGCCATCGCACGGACACGTGGCTTGGCGCGTGGATGCACTGCCAGACAGGGCCCTGCCCGCCTTTCAGGCGATAGTGCCGCAGCCCGCTGACCAGCATGTCCCTCAGGGTCATAGGATTCAAACCCATTCCGTAGCTTGGTCATTTCAACGTTCCATAAATTAACAAACCTAGGATTCAAATGGGATCCGCGGGCTCCGACAAACGGGATCCCCAACATGAAATTCACGCATATGGGAACAAGGACTAAACCCTGCATAACCCAAGCTGCTTAATTTTCAGCCACACCCACATGCGTAGCATCACAATTTCAGCACCAGCACAAATATAAGATGGTCACCCCCCCCCCCCCGTTCCCATGAAGGACCCACTGGTGGTGGACCATTTTTCATCCCACCCATTTTGTGCACGAAAGGGTCCCCAATTTCTGAATTCATGTTGGCCCACCAAACTCCGAATTCATGCCCACTTCTTGGCCTTGGCCCCGTCACATCTGAAATACTCCACAAACAATCTGTGACGATTATGAGTCATTTTGAGTCCACTCCGACATCCCCTGAAAAGAGAACTGGACCGGAGACCCAAACCAGACACTTTGGTGCTCCGAATGTTTATTTTTTTGAATGAGGCCAACGGCCCCGACCCGAATGCGAACGGCCGCATTCGAACGCCGCATGCCGCATGCGCCTCAAGGTGTAGTGCGCCCCCGGCAGCTTCCGCAACACGTTGAGGTCCTTCACGTAGGACCGCGGCACCGTGAGGCTGGGATCCAACGGCCCGCAGCCGTGGGACCGCGCCTCCGCGGGCCATGCGACGTCCGTGGGTCAGAACCAGGGGAAGTCCACCCCAAGCAGGGGGTTGGAGGGGGGCGGCCCAGAAAGGCGGCCCAGGGGCCCCCCAGGATGTTCCAAAAAGTGATGATTCAAGTAGGGGCATTTTAATCTTTGCCGAAGGTTTAAAAAGCAGCGGGGGCGTTGGGGGGGTGGGTACAACCCCCCACTTACGCTCCAAAAAAAGGCATTGTACGTCAGGTAAGTGGGGAATAACCATGGTACTTAGCCACGTACCCTAGTTGTAATATAACATGGTGATAGGTATCCTGGCTGGGCTTTGCCATGGCTATAAGTCTCCGTTCAGTGGGATCTATTCAACTTACGAAAACCACTTACAAAGTACCCCCATTTAAGTAGATAGCCACGCCACCCAAAAAGGCGTGCAGCGAGGTGAGAAACGCAGGGTTCAAGAGGGGCGCGCTGCGCGCGCGTGCAAAACTGAAAATTGCAGATGTTCAGATTCTTCCCAAATATTTAATATTTGTTCTTATAAAAATTAAAAAAAATAAAAAATGAGTGCTGGAGGAGGCGAGTCTGAGGCATTCTCATGTCCTCTTTCCTTTCCCCCGCCTTGTTGTCGAAGGACGCAACCCCGTACTTGGCCATGCCCCCGCAGCCCGGGTTGCTGGCATGGTGGCAAAAGGCCATCTCCCCGCAATGGGAGCAGTACTTCTTCGGGTACGCAATCATAGGCACTCCTCCCCACCCCCAAAGCCCAAAGGCATACCTGGACCCCCACAATTGGCTCGGGAAAGATGAAAAAACAAATTCATCCAGTGACAGGGTCGCTTCAAAACCGGGGGGGAGGGGTGGAGGGAGGAATAAAGCTCAAGAATCCCAACAGAAGGGGTTTTGCCCCAAAATTGTGGTTGGCCGAATTCCCCCCTTGTTTATCGGTGGTTTGAGGGTCTCGGTATATCATAAATAGGGGTCTGGCAAAACTTGAAAATTTTGCGTATCCCCTTGGAAATCTGCCAAAGATCCCCAAAAACCGAAGCGTTTGGGCGAACTTCCTGGAGAGATCTCTTGTTTCTTAGGTGGCACTTCAGATTCTACTGTGATGGACAAAATTCCGCACCACCTAAACCCTGGAACGATGATTCCCCTGTAGATGCCAACAAACGGTATGGTTTCAACCATGGTTTCATTTCGTGCCGTCAAGGGTCCCTTTGGGCCGATTCGCCATCTAGAAGAGGCGAACAGGCTTGGCTCTTGAGTTCATCATTGGTTCATGGGAAATCCAAGGAAGCCCAGCCCCATTTGAAGCGTGCCCCTGCTGGAAGACAAATCGAACACGCTTGAGGAGGGGGTGAACCCTATTTCAGGGTTAGTTCAAATCATTGGTCCAAAAAGTCCAAACCTTTTGTTTACAACTGAAATGGTTTACCCAAACAAGTCAAAGTCCAAGAACTCAAAAAAGTGAGTCAACGGCAAATCGGCAAATCAAAAAAACAGTTTTTGGAGGCTTCCCCCTGTCTTCGTGTTGGATTCCGTACCGTAGTCGCGGAAAAAAATAAATTCTCCTTCGGAGGTCCCGGACTCGAACTCGGACTCGGACTCGGTCTGTCTCGCGCGCATCTGCACCATGGACAGCTGGCCGTCATCGCACTCGCCAGTCTCGCAAGTCTCCTTGGCCCAAAGGGAAAAGCCAGAAATCCCCCCTACATTAACTCGGTTGCCTTTCTGCTCCGCTGCTAAAAGTGACTACTTGTAGAGGTTTAATACGGGGAACCCAAATTCGTTGGCGAAAAGTGAGTTAGTCCTAACATCCCTTGGCAAAACGCACCCAAGTTAAGAGCAGGGGGGGGGTGCTGGATGACTCGTTTCCTTTAAAAGGGGCCCATGTTCGTGGGCTCCATGGCACGTAGGAGGGGAACCTGCGGGGGCGACGAAGACTACCATCTCCTTTCAGAACTCCGATCGCTGGCTCCGGAACCGCTTAGGCAAAATTGGATACCAGCTCCCAAGTTCCGGCTCCCTTCCAACCACCAGCCAGAAAAGTTTACCCCCAAAAAATACAAGATGAACAAATGACAAAAAAATGGAAAGCCTTCTGAGGCCCTGACCGAAAAATTGAAAACCTTCTGGGGCCATGACCGCAAAAACATCCAAACTTAGAAAACCCAAAACCGGTCGATTCGACCTCAGGACTGAGTCTCACTTGGCACCTCGGAGATCTCCTCCAACCTCGGCGGGGTGGAAAAAATGTTTGGTCCCGCGCGACACTCTCGGAGCGTGTCCGAAGCCCTAGGCTTCGAAAGCATCATGTGGTATACCTGTATTTCCTCCACTGGAAACAAGTGAGAACATATGTTCAGTAGCGAAATCGATTCCAACCTTAAAATCAACAGAGAAAACAAACAGATTCGAAAGCAAACGGAAGTACGTGTTGATGCTCCATTTGAGATAATCTGCTGGTATACATGTTCAGGGTATTGAGGAAATGCTGGGGGGCGCCCCCTTTTGAGGAGTTGAAACCAAAAGCAATCCCTTGCCATCTTCAGAAACACCGACCCGAGGGCAGAAGGACCGACCGTGCTGTCTTGGATGGCCATCTTGGGGTCTGGACTTCGGAAGGGAAGTGAGTTCTGGCTGAGCGCTGAGTTCGCAAGGGGCAACCTCTCCCCTCCATTTCTTGCTCACTTCCTGAGTGGATTGGCAACAAAAAGGCAGCTAGACTTGATGTTGGTCAGAATGGTCCAGACCCAAGTGATCAAAGTCCGGGAAGTCAAGAAGTTAGCTTTCCAATGGAACAAGGAATTCATCAATGCTGGATTAATACCCCTTGTCCCATTGAAATCAATGTGGGGGTTCTGGGGAAACACCTCCTGATTGATCAGCCTGCATCAATTGCTCGCGGTTTAAACCAATGTTTTGAGGTTCCATGGGCTACACCTGCCTGTCAGTGCCTGCCAGTTGATTGGTTGAGAAACCTATGGCGGTTGCAAGTGATTGCGCACATGTGTGGGCTGCTTGTGGCGCCAGCTTGTCAGAGGCTCTTGTTGACGACCAGTCAATATCTGCCTATTTTATGCAAAACTCACCCATTTGGGGCGGAAAGCGGAAGGATAAAACGAGCAAAATCCACTAGCCCACTTCGCTTTTCGGCCTGGGATCAAACAAATTCATGCAAGGTCAAGACATGTCAACCGGGAACGAACCTACAAATTCCGACAAAGGACTGGTTTTTGTTGCGGTCATTCCAACTTCCCGAGCCAGCAAGACCAAACACGTCAGATGTCTTTGCTATACAAACCCCCCAAAAGTTGGTTGTCCTTTTGGCCCCCCCTTTATTTAAAACCACCAAAATGAGCCTTTAAAACCACTCCACAAGGGCTACTTGGATGTTCGTTGCCAAATTTGCAAGAGGAAGACACCACGTGGGCAGGTTGTCGACAACTTTCTAACTTGGCCAATCAAACACCCGAGTGATGTTGACCCCCGGATCTGTTTATGAAAAAAAATGGGGGGGGGGGTCCCTGGTTTTAGTGAGGTGTTTTCTCACTTTTGGAGGGGAACGCCCCCCAGAATGATAACCAGGGGTTTATTAATCCGGGGTCAACATTATCTGTCCCTTAAAAAATGCACATCTTGGCTCAGCACGTGCCCCCGGATCCGCCGGATCCGCCGGCTGCATCGATTGGTTTATGTCGATTCTCGACTCTCTGGGGCCGCCGCTGTGCAAGGGCCAAGGCCCAGCAGAAGGCCGACACGTAAAACGCTTTCATGGCAAATCGATGGACGTCGATCCCCTCTGGAGCCAAAATTCATCCGATTTGCACAGAGCTTCGAGGTGCCGTGAAAAATCCCGGCTCATGGGTGCTGGCTGGCCCAATGGTCCATTCTTGGAGTGGAAACACTTCAAGGCATGGCAAAGTTGCAACGTGAGACGCCAAGTGCAAATGGCCTCACAAGTGGGTTGCCAATTGATGTGCACTGAAGCGTCCGGGCACTTGCAGCAGTCAACATGCAGCCAAAACCAGATGCACAGCAGGTTCGGGCTGCTCCTGGTGGGAAAATCCACGGTGATTTTCTGTCGTACCAGTATGAGTAATTCCCACCACTTTGTCACTTTGGGGTATTCCCTCGGCATCACTGAAAATCGGCCTAAAATCCAATTGTCCATAACCATGCGGCTACCTGGGTTTGGGAACCAAAGAAGGCACAAGTATGCACAAGTCTTTCATAATCCTGCTGAACATTTTACCCCCCCCCCCCGGTGGCCGAACTGCCATACATTGCTGCGCAGGCCCCCGTTCGGAAGACACGCATCCTTTCCAGGCTGAGGGCTTCACGGAAACTTGGGGTGCAAAACCCGGCCCTCCGCACCTCCGCGGTGGGATCCTCTGCGCTATGGATGATCTGACGGATAAGCTGCACCGACTCTGGTTGCATAAGCCTGGGCCACCCGATGCGCGAGACCGCGACCGTCCGAAAGCCATCTGGAATTCAAATCCTCAACCCCCCCCCAACATATATATATATATAAAACTAGATTGACTGCCGTGTGCACGCGTTCATGTACAGGAGAGACAAACCCTTCTGCAAATCAGGGTCCAAGCTGGGAAAAGCGCTAAAAGAGCAAATTGTCCCTAAACCCTCAAAAAATCCCTTCACCATGGGTGGTTGCCTTGTTCAATTCTGGTGGGTGAATCGGTGAATCCCAGTTTTATCTGGCTCTAGGTCCTCCAGTAGAGAGGTAGAATAAGAGTACCCTTTTTTTTCTGTCACCTATTTTAGTGGAGGAACCCTCCCCCAAAAAAGTTGGTAAAAGTTGGCACCTAGCTGGGGGACCTAGGGCTCGTTCGAGCCCCGCTCCAGGGCACGAACGAGCCCTTCTCCCGTGGCCCGCGGCCATTCCCAGAAGAACTCGTCCAGCTTGGCGTTCACCAGGTCGCAGCCCTGGATCCGCCAGCGGATCTGGACGTTCTACATCTCAACCCCCCCGAGATCCCCCGAGCGGATGGCCCAAAAAAAAGTAAGCAAGCTTTTTAGGTACCACCGACACGGTCTTCGCGAAAAAAAAAAGGGCGTTACGGTCCAGGAACTCAGGAAGTTCTGCATTGGAAATTCTACGGTAGGTAGTCGGCACATTTCCATTTCTATATTTCCTATGAAAGGCGAGTTGGACTTCGAATGGGAACATGGTAAATGTTTCACAAAAAGCCCGAGGAGAAGCATTACTCGCAGGAATCCCTGGATTTCCACTCCAAATGTTTCCACGAAAACAATCGCCACGTTTTTCCGAGGTTTCAAGAAGCGAAATGGCTCGTGCAACGCCAAATGACATCCCCCTGGTGAGCCTTCCCCAAAAACATGCGCGGAAGAAACAAGAGACCACCTCCAAAAAACTGTGATGTGTCCCTTTAAAAATGCCCAAAAAGGTGGGAACCACCTTGAGAAAAACGCTGTGTTTTCCTTTACCCTTTAAATACCCCCAAAAACGGCTCCCTCTGAGAGCGCCTTGCAGAATAAAAACCCGGTACGAAAACGGTCCACCCAGAACCATGTAAAGAACGAAGAAGGCGGCCGCAGCTATTTATGCAAAGGGGATTGTCCCTTTGGATTTCGGGCGGCGCCCTGCGGGGCGAACGGGCCGCGCCATGGCGACAGCACCCGTCGCCACCGTGGCCACCTAAGAGAGGTCGGAGGGGAGGCGAAGGGCGGGGGAGGGACGGGCCCCACTTGGTTGACCTTGGGTTTGGGGAGCAAACAAATAAATTTTAGCAGTTTAGTGGTTGGATCTTCAATCCTACTAAACCAGAAAGCAAAAGGTAAAATGTGTCCCAACAACAACCATGATTGGTTTACAATTGTCCAGGGCTTGGCTCCGCCGAAATGAACAGCCTGTGGAAAGAAAGTGGAAAGGGCTTCTGCACTGCAATGCCACAAGCGGTGGAAAAGGCCGCCCCATGCAACTGTCAAAGTGACCCCCGTGCAAAGGCAGGTTGAAGCGATACAAACAATTCCAGTTTCTGACTCTGAGAATCAGAAACCGGAGGGCAGGAACACAGAGCAGCACAAAAACGCGGAAAAACTCGCAAAACCCGTTCGAGGTTCTCAAGATGCTTGACAAATCACCTGGCACTTGGCGCGGTCTAGCACCCCCAAAGCCAACAATCAGC